AGTTATCACGTTTTAGATAAATGCTTCTTCATTAGGATGAAAATGTCTTATGCATCTATCATTGCCAGTGTTGAGAGCATAACCAATATTTTGTTAGCGTATGGGTTTGAGGTAGATAATCATGACTAGCAAGAGTCAGAGTTTACAGAGCTGATAAAAGCACAGACCAAAGTAAAATGCCTCAAATTACTGTTATAACAAGGCAGGATGTAAAAGCAAACATATACATTTTCTTCTTTTAATACCAAAAAACTTTGCCTACTGATTTTTTATTTTCATCATTGCCAAAGAACACGATGAATGGAGTAAGGATAACAACTAGAAGTTTGGATTAAAGGAAAAAAACACACACAAAAAACCCAAAGGACATCTGAAGTCTAGTCAAAAGCGAAAAGGATGACCTACCTGTCAATTACATCTGTTGTTTCAAGCACCAGAGATTTGGAGCAAAACACTTATTAACATGTGTTTCTGATTTATAGTAGTGAAAGTATATTAATATAAATACTGGGTGGGAGAGTGCTAGAATCGACTTGAAAGAGCACTGGAGATAGCAAACAGAAATAGAAACTTTACTCACCATCTCTTGCTCTTTAAATCCTGACTCCACCAATGTTAGTTGGGTGACCTTGGGTTACCTAACTCCTCTGTGCCTTAGCTCCCTCATCATAAAGTAGGGAAAATACTGCTTTCCTTAAAGAGTGTTAATAGAATTGAATAGGATAATAGATATAAAGTATTAAAACAGTGCCTGGAACATAATAGGCACTCAGTAAATGTTAGCTATTATTTTCTTTTTATAAATGTTAGCTATTATCATCTTGTTCATAAATGTCACATAGCACTCCTGGTCTCATTGCTGGGATTGATGTAGTGGAAGATCACAGGCCTGCAAGCCAGATAGACGTGGGTTTACATTATGCCTCTGCCACATGCCAGCACTGTGAACTGGGTGAGTTAACATCTCTGTGATTTAGTTTTCTTACCTGCAGTATGGGAAAAATAGTAACAACCCCGGGAGTTTAGTCAAGATGAAATCGGTTGACATGTACATATATAAAGTGCCAACATGACTTCTCCCTCCCTTTCCCTGCCTTCCTTGAAGACACAATGGGGGAAAGGACTTTCACTGTTTATACTGTCCCTGCGCCACCCCAGTGGACCTGGTCTCCCTGCACCATCCTGTGGTTGGAGGTGTCAGATACTGACCGGAGTATTGTATGGCCAGCAGTAGATGGACCAGAGCTTCTCTAAAATTAAATTAAGCTAATTGATTAGTCAGTGAGTTTAACAGTGGCTGAATCTAACAAATTATGGAGAAGATTCAAGGATGGCAGAAGTCCTTTAGCTAAGATAAAAACCTCCAAGACAGAAAAGTCTGTTGTAGCACCTTGAATATACTACCCCCACCCCACTCCTGCCATTTCCTGGCTCCCAGTCCCTCTGGGATCCGACCAGGTGGGAATCTCTGCATCTGTCTCTCCTTTTCACCTTCCCCAGTTATTCTCAATTTTGACCAGAGACAACCCTTCCCGAAGGACAGTAAAGGCTTCTGGGGAGATGTTGGACATACCACTGTAACAATATTAAAACTTTAAAACTCACTTTAATTGTGTCACTTTCCTTTAACCTTAAATAAATAAGCACTTTTGAGTAGATTAGAAATCGATGGTATCAAAAAGTCTGAGACATTCCTTAAAACCCAAATTGACACACGCTTTCTTTCACATATGTCATAGTGTTGTTTTGAGGACTAGTTGACCTAATAGAAAAAGAAACCCCCGAGCACAGGGAAATACTTAGTTCTAGCTTTTGTTGTTATTATTTGTGACCGAATGTCTCATTCGTAGGTGGCACAGCAATGGTGCTCTGGTTTACAGGAGATTTGCTGCCTTTCCCATGATTCAGGATCCCATCACTGCTAGGATGACCAGTTCTTGTGGCTTGGTGCTGGCATGGGTTTTGATAGTGGTCAAGTTCTATTAAACAGTCTGCAGTTGTTCTCACTCAGTTATGACTAATTTACAGTCTCTCTTTGGTCTGTAGAACATATCTTTTGATTGCATTCATTTTATGTTTCTTATTTTTTTCCCCTTAAATCACATAACATACAGATTTTTAATGTTTATTATTTTGCAACATAACATACAGATTTTTAATGTTTATTATTTTGGTATTCTAGGAGACATGACTATATTTTATTCTGTAAAAAGTGTCATAAAAATAAATTACATCATTATTTTGTAAGGACTAGCATCAGGGGACCATGGACAGTTATTCCTAAAAGTTCTGGCATATAGCTTCCCATTAAACAGACTCAGGAATAGTGCGAATCTGGGAGAAGGAACTGGAATAGCAAATGGAAATACATGGATTCTGTACATGAACATTTTCTGGGAAGATTAACTTTTTGGTTTTTCAGATATCCTGCATTCCCCCCCCCCCCGCCCCCCGCCGCCATGTGCTGTTCAGTTTAAATTTCCTATTTTACACATCATTTTTTCAGTAGACAAGAAGGAGTGAAGATGCATATAAAGTATTATGATTTGGGGTTGTCCCATTTTGAAGGGAGCAATTTGTACGCAGTGTGTCCTGTTTCCTCATTTCTTTGCAACTCTGAAGTCTTTAGGCAGAGACAGGAATGTGCTGTCATTTTGGGCATTGATTAACCCTCTACGAACAAATCAAGCAGAAAAAAGTTCATCTGCACAGCTGTTTATGTTTCAGAGCGCTCAGGTATACTTTGGGGTGGGCAGTACTTCATACTTCACAGCTGTTTGAAAGTTGGTGGATGAGAATTACCATACTGTTTTGCTGTTTTATTTCTCCCTATTGTAATATTTCTATCTATCTCTGAATTACTCATGTGCAAAATACTGCCTTAGTTTAAATGATAAATCATTGAAATAGTATTACCTTTTATATTCAATGACATAGAAATTTATATAATGCCCTGGCTGGTTTGGCTCAGTGGTAGAGCGTAGGCCCTCAGACCAATGAGTCCTGGGTTTGCTTCCGGTCAAGGGCACGTACCTTGGTTGCAGTTTGTCTCTGGCCCTGGTCGGGTCATGCGGGAGGCAGCCAGTTGATGTGTTCCTCTCATGTAGATATTTCTCTCTCTCTCTCCCTTTCTCTCCCTCCCACTCTATCTGAAGATAAATGGAAAAATATCTTCGGGTGAGAATTAAAAAAGAAAGAAAGAAATTTATATAATTAAGATATGAACAAAGTTCATAGTTGAAAAGATATATCCTGGCAGAGCCTCTGCATTTCAATTTGTTAACCTTTTTTTTCTTCTTAAAGCCTATTATTCTGGAGTTGCACAAGAGTAAGTTTTTCTGAAGGTTCTTGTAGTCACTGTTGCAGAGATGAAATAATCTGTTTCAAGAATAAACACTATTAAGTTAAATCACCACAAATATATTTGACTCTAAGACTTATGTGTTGAATTGAGGTGGATTTGATGATTTGCATAGTGTGCCATTTCCAAAGTTGCCATTGAAGTTAAATTAAAATGAAATTTCTCATTTGCTGATACTCATAGGTGCTGTGACATTTAAAAACCCACCGTTTATACATAGTCCTTTAGTGAGCAGTCATCCAAGTTAACACACAGATTGCTCTTCTCACATAGAGATGGAATAAAACGGTCTCTGGCAGAGCTTCCAGATGGACCTTCCTTGTCGTCGGGTCAGGCCGCAATGTAATCACACAATCACAGTTAGTTCTCATCTCTGGGACTCTTCAAGTGCCAAACCTAAGGCTCACTCTCCGGATGATAATGTGATAAAGAACAGTAACTTGTAAATCAATGAATGACACTTCTGTGTACTCTTTTGTTCCCCAAAGAAACTGCTGAGCCAAACCAGCCAGAGCTATGTTTATGTTTTTAATTCTCACCTGAGGATATACTTGTGTTGATTTTCAGAGAGAGGAAGGGAGAAAGAGAGAGAGAGATGGAAACATCGATGAGAGAGAACATCGATTGGCTGCCTCCTGCACACCTTGTGGGGATCAGGCCCACAACCTGGGCATGTACTTTGACCAGGAATTGAACTGGTGACCTCTTGGTGCATGGACTGGTGCTCAACCACAGAGCCACACCAGCTGGGCCATTTATTTATTATTTGTTTTTATAGCCAAACTCTTTTCAACAATTGTTTGTTCTGTAGCTGTTTATTTGAAAGTCAAAGCTGGGCTCAGTGATTAGACCAGTTCTAATATGTAGCTGGGACCATTTATGGAACATATCCCACAAAATGGTCTTTTTTCCATCATGGTGGTCAGAAAATAGACACATGTGACCAAAATCTATACATTAAATCTCAGTGCCGGTACAGAGGGGAACTCGCTTCCTCTAAGCCTTTAGAAAATTCCATTGTATTTTTGGAATGTTTTCGCCAAGTTAAGGCTATGAGAGATGAAGAAAAGGGAAAATAAAATAGAAGATGTTGGTATCATTGTAGTTAGCAAGAAGAAAATTCTAAAAGTAACATTTTAGAAAAATATCAAATGCTATGTACAAATTAATCAGATGCTCTAAAATTTATTTTAAAAACTCTTATCTACAATTTATCTATACCTTTGCTTAATTATGCATTATTTGCACAAATACATTTTAGTTTTTTTTTCTTTTCATTGAAATATACAAATGTGTGTTGGCTTTGAACTTAACTATTCTCAAAAATAAAAAGAAAAACTGTCAGTTACTAGTATCAGTGTTTGTCCTCTCGAGTCTTTCTATTTGTGCACATTTGACTTACCATGTAAGTTATCATTTTTGTAGTTCTGATATCAATTTCAGTTCAAGGGATCCAGATGTATGCATCAATGTTCCTGTTATTGTTCATTTCTTTTTGTCAGTATTTTGCTAAATGACATCCCCTTGTGGAAGGTGAAATAAACAGCCTGTAGCATTGCTAGTCAAGTTAAAAACAACAACACAAAACGGTAGGACTGAGAAAATGTCTATCAACTGATTTCTCTTGTGTGTTTTGCAGCTGACAATGGCCAACATCGGAGTAAATGGGAGTCATTCCACGGAGACCTGTGAAACAATACTTTTTGCTCTTCGAATGGCAACATGGAATCAAATCTTAGATCCCTGGGTGTATATTCTTCTACGCAAGGCTGTCCTTAAGAATATCTACAAGTTTGCCAGACGCTGTTGTGGAGTGCATGTCATAAGCTTACCTGTTTGGGAGCTTAGCTCCCTTAAAAATACCTTAAAGGTTGCTGCGATTTCTGAGTCACCTGTTGCGGAGAAAATAAATCAGCAATCACCGAGTTTAACAGGACAGCACGTCAGTGTGGGTCCAGGACAAAATTAAGAAAAGTTTTGGCAATGTTTTAGTTAATTGGATAAATATTTAAAGCCTAACTGGAAAATTCAGGCCTCAGCAAGTAGTTTGGGGTGCACCTTGTTCAGAGTCAGCTTTTGAAATTTGTAAAATTCACTGTTTAATTGCACATTTAACTTTGTTTTGTCAGCTGCAGGTAAACATGATGAAAGAATGCCATGGGAGTCAAATTGAAAATAATTTTGGGCTTATCTGTGTTCTTTTCTGGTTTTGGAATGAGTGACTTTGTTGAGTCCTAAAGCATTTTACTTGGCCTATTTGCCAAAAAACATCTTAAAACTACCTGCATCTTAGAATGGCTATTTGGAGGTCACTGTTCTGTAGCTGTTCTTTATAGACTAGCTCAATGAAATGGAGCACTCTCATTTTTTGATCTGGTCTGTTTTACCCCTCATCATGTAACCTCAGTCAATATATGTATGGTCATGTCATGTGGGATTCACTGTTGTTTATAGTGACTTGCATATACTCCAGGTGTGGCTGTCAGGTTGCCTGGTCTTGAGAGCCTGTTTAGAATGAGCCCATCTTTGTCATATTTGACAAAAAGGATTGCTTGCATTGATTATTATGAAGGTCAGTTGTTGTTTGAAGGTTTTCTTGGTAAGTTATACCTTTGCATAGTTTTAAAATAATCCCCTTTCCTCTGAAAATTCTAGTGCACTGAAATAATTTTTAGAGAAACAAAGGCTCTATTTTAGCACATATGGAGGTAATTTGCATGATAGCAGTTTCTAAGAAGCTCCGCCATAGATAATGCAAACAGAACTTAAACCCAGTGGTAGGTGCAAAGAACTGACAAAGGCATTTTACTTTGAGGCATCATTTCTGTGTCAGAGAATGAAAGAAACACAATCTATATGTAAATATGGAAAGACTATCTGTAGGCAGTGTGTTTCTGTTTTCCCCTTACACACACACAAACACAAAAGGACATCAAAAATTTCTGTTGAAAGTGGCTTCATTAAACCAGAAAGATAACTTCTTCCAAAGCCTGGGGAGGATTGGCAACTAGCCAGGCGTTCGGAGATCATTATAATGGTTAACCAAGAGATCAAGGGGTAATATCCTTTCCCCAAATTTCCCATTAATACTTTAGACTTTTTCTGTGTTGGTTTATATAATTCAACCCAAGGATTTTAGTAATTATCTAAAATGTCCTGGGTCCATCAGAGCATAGGTAGGTAGTTCCGCTTCATAACAGTGAATTGCATTTCTGTAAGAGTTCATTGCCTTCATTAACTGGGCTCTGTTTTAAAATTAATCTTTTCTGTGAGACTGATTTCAGATTCTCTAGGAAATTTGTGCAGTTCAACTAGACTTAAATTATATTCACAGATTTTTGCTTTTGACTCTTAATGTACATTGTAAGTTGTCTATTTTTGTGAATTTTGGAAAATTCTCATGAATAAGTTAAAAGCAGATAGCCTTGATGAAGATTTAAAGGCAACCATTTTTTTTTTTTTTTTAGTGAATTTAAAAAAGGGACACTCACATATACACACTGCAAGTGATATTCTTAATTTAAGACCAACAAATGATCAATCACACAAATTTAGGTTATTTTCATTTATAGAGCACATGGTAGATGCTCGATAAATCCTTGCCAAATTAAATCACAAGAATTTTTTGGTATGAAATGAGCATGGGATTGTAAAGATTTTGTACATTTTTAACATATGGTTATTGTGAGATATATATATGTATATATATATATACATACATATATATACACACACACACACACATATATTTGTATATGTATGTATATTCAGTGTTTATGCTTTTAAAAAGCCATTGCAATTTATGATGGCTGTTATATTGTATAAATGTTCTCTTGTGTTTCAATAAGGCTTAAAGCCCAGAAGTTTGAGATGGTTCAGAGGTGATACCTTTTTCTTACAGCTGCTCAAGAGTATTGGTATCCTGTGAGCTGAGGAACAGGGAACCAAAGCTCCATCCTCCTTCCTTATGCTCAGTAGGATGCTGAGCAAACATGACCCGGGAGAGGTGCGGGGAGAAACTCTCATTCAGAGTTCCAGTCCTCTTCTTCTTGAGGCTTCTTCTAACTGTGATATCATCTATATCACAGATTTAGGACAACTAAATTCGTTTTATGATGATGTTAAATCCAAGAAGTAGACACCAAAAATTGAAAAAAAAGTTTAGAAAAAGAATATACATTTATGTTGTTTTAGGTTTCCCCCCAAGGAAAATGAAATGAAGAGAACACAACCATATGCATATCTGACTTCAGAATTTTATTCCTGTTATACATATTTCATTGTAGTTATATAATTTATTGTATCAAGACTAATAGAGTGGAGCATTCACTGGTAACTTTTATATAAATGTTCAAAGGAGAAGTATATTTGTTTAGATTACTGGAAATAAGTAGTGCAAATAGTGTTCAATGAGTTTACCGATTTTGAAGTTTCAAGCTCTAGTTTAAAATTCATTAATTAGACCAGAGTAACTGAATTTCCTTTGTCATTGGGTTAAGTAGTATCTAAGCAAGTTACACTATTTATTACCTTATTTCGGAGGACTTATATTATAATGAGCAAATGAGTTGAAAATGCCAGGCTTTTCCTGATGTTAATGAAGTCTTAAGAAAATAAGACCAAAAAAAGAAAAAGAAACATAAGAGCAAATGGGTTTTTATGACCATGAATACAGATACACATAATGATGACTCATAAGTAGCCGTGGTTGTGTCCCCAAACATCAGACTTTTTACTGATGGATTTAATTAGGTGATAGAAATAGGCTCTTTTAAATTTTTTCCTAAACGCAGAAACTTGCTTCTATGAATCTGTAGTGCAGAAGTGGAATATACCCAAAAATTCACACACACACACACCTGTTTTATGTAACAAACAGTCTTGTTTGCTCATTTTTAGACTTATAAAAGAAAAACCAGCTTCATTTGTGTGCCTAGTGGTAGAACCCAAGTAAGAGCATTATTAAATGCATAGAGTGAACTTTTTGTGAAACCTGTTGCTAGCTTCACCTCTACCACCATCATTGCTCCAAATTAATAAGCTGTCGAAGGGCAGAATTCACAGAATAAAAATATACATTTTCTTACTTCTTCATCTAGGTGTCAGAATATTTTACCACCTACTAAATAATGTTGGACTTCAACTTGTTGCTCACACATCTACTAAGAGTAGGTGAATGTCTTATGTGAATAAATGTATTTTGTGCTCTTCATACTTGTTGGATTGTGTAAGGGAGTAAATAGTGATATGTATATTTTGTTGCTTGCATCAGTGTGCACTTGTAATTTTTGTGCTTTGACTAGTTTAAAACTTCAAACAAACGATTTTATAATAAACTTGGACAAGTGTTTATCCAGAGAGGTTATTTTTTAGGAAACTCATATAGAAGGTGGAACTCTTGCATCTAAACTCCCATTTTTATCTTCCATGCCAGTGACTTTCGACCTTTTTCATCTCATGACACACACACACACTAATTACTAAAATTCCGCAGCACATCAAAAAAATCTATTTCTGCCAATGTGGTTAAAAAAAATGGGTATAATTTTGAATCATTCACACTGGACGACTATTGTCATGTTGGCTGTTGTTATTTTTTTATTTGACAATCTAAGGGAAAAGAGGTCACTGACCATGACTAAGTAGTCAGGTATTGCATGTTTTAAAAATTCTTACTGCACACCAGTTGAAAATCTCTGTGCTATGAGATGGGAAGAAATGCAACTTGTTTCCCATTATTACCTTTTGTTATCTGTTTTCTACCCACTCTTCTGTGATATCTGCTTTCTTTCTCTAGCCTGCTTCACCTTACCTATGTAGGTCATAATTATGTTGGGAATCTGATCGTTTCCATGACACAGTGACCTAGATGTGTCAGTGAGGATAGCCAAGGTATATTTCTGATAACAATCCCCAAATCTCAGTGCCATAGACCCACAAAGGTTTGCATCTCACCTGTGGCTCCTGTCCACTCAGACGGGGGACTCTGCTCATTGTAATCACTCAGAGATCTCAGATGACAAAGCAGCAGTTGCCACCTTGTATTTGCTGTTTGCTATGCTCCAGGGAAAAACACAGCTTGGTGGGTACGCACTGGCTCATGGAGCTTCCACCTGGAGGTAATGTGTATTTCTTCTGCTCACACCTCTCCAGCCAAAGCAAGTGATATGGCCCCACCAACGTCAAGGGGGGCAGGTAAGTGCAATACTAGGACATGCTTATAAGGAGTACTGAAAATACTTGGTAGACAGCACTAATGCTTTCCAGATTAAGTAAATTTTTTTTTCATTCTTGCCTTCCTAATATAATTCAAACTGGAACCACATTTGTTTGTCTTTTTAACATTTTTTATTATTTAAGAATATCACAGGATGAAAACATTTAGGACTCATTTCTCTAAGTATCTTGCAATCTATAAAGAAAAGGCAGAATGAATGCTACGTACATGCCACATATGTTGTTTGCAATTAATAGAAATATTAGATGATAAAAAAAACACTATAAAATAGAGTAAAAAAAAAAAACATGGTTCTTAAAAATGCAGAAGTGAGACATTTCTGTATTTTGCCCATGCATTGCCTAGTTGCAGTATTGTCTGAAATTGTTGCTTTCCTAATAAATAAAGATGTTTGAAATATATTTTTGTCTTTGCTTTGCACTTTCAATATCCCTGTGATAGAATATGTGTACCTGGATATACCCCATGCCATTGAATTCCATTTAACTGTCAGAAAACCTAAAGTAATGTAAGAGCAGTGGAACAAAATTAAACTACATTTTTTTTTTCTTATTCTTCAAGTGAAAACAGTCCTTTCATTTTGAACCCAATCATAACAGTATAGGAAGTAAATCAGGATCTTGGCTAAAATGAAATCTTAGTACGTTAGAGATATAAGTTTATATACCAAGTGTTCTGTTTAAAGAATCCATAGAGGGCTACTGCAAGGAATTTCTGCAGGGTCTTCCTTGTGCCCTGCAAAAGTATCAACTAAAGTCATATGATAAAGATATGACATGTGGCCCAGCTGGTGTGGCTCAGTGGTTAAGCATAGACCCATGCCCCAAGAGGTTGCCAGTTTGCTTTCTGGCCAGGGCACTTGCCCAGGTTGTGGGCTCAATCCCCAGTGGGGGGCATGCAGGAGAAGGCCAATCGATGTTCTCTCTTACCGATTTTTCTCTCTCCCTCTCACTTCCTTTCTCTCTAAAATAAAAAAAAGATACGACATGCAATTTTGGAAAAAGGTAGTTTAAAGGTTTTTGTTTTTTTTTAATTCTCTCTTGAGAATATTTTTCCATTTATCTTTAGACAGAGTGGGAGGGAGGAAGAGAGAGAGAGAGAGAAACATCGATGTGAGAGAGACACAGTGATTGGTTGGGTCCTGCATGACCCCAACCAGGGCTGGGAACAAACTGCAATCAAGATACGTGCCCTGGGCCAGGATCGAACCCAGGACTCTTTGAGCTGAGGGCTGGTGCTCTAACCACTGAGCAAAACTGGCCAGGGCTGAAGGTTTTTATGTTATCAAAAAATCTCATACTTGCTAAAGTATATTTTTTAGATAATCTAGATAGTTTATGGAAGAAGAATGAAAATACCACTTTACATATACCTTATTGTTAATAAAATGAAAGCAGAATTATTGAAATCTAAAGAAAATATATATTGGATTTGGGGTGCATTTTACGTTTCTACTTGTAGAAGGATATAAAGTTGGTCTTAGTATTTCATATTTAATTTCATTTGAAGAACTTCAGTGTTTGGGAATATCCAAATGAACAAAATACCCCCAATGTCATCCCAATAAGTTCAATAAAAATAAAAAATACACTCTTGTTGCCACACTAACTTTCCCACATTAAATGAGGCAATTCTACACACTACTGTACATCGAAAGAATTTTAGTTTTAAAAAATGAGATCATACTAGATGTGCTGTTGTGTTGTGCACTTTTTCAGTTCATACCAATTCACACAGGCTACTCTTTCCAACAGCTCCATAGAATTACGTAATGTAAATATGCCATACTGTACTTGAACAACTTCCTAGTGGAGAGTTGTTTTTGTGTCCAGTTACATTCCTCTTTCAAATAATGCTATTTCTTTTTTTTCAAATGTTATTGCAATATGAATTTCCTTAGAAGTTGTGTGTGGGTTTGTGTGTGTTGTGGAGTTGGTGGGTTAAGGCATGCTCATTGTCCCTGCTGATATGTCCTGCTACATTGTGCAATGTGTGCTCCCATTCTCTTCCGAGAGAAAACGCCTTATCCCTGACACCACTCTCTGTGTATTTCTGTAATCTTTTTATTGCTACCGATCTGATTGGCAAAACTAAACCTGATTCATGGCATACTTTATGTTACTTGTATTTTCCATTGCTGATGAAGTTGAGCTTCTTTTCATACTTTTGCCAGTCATTTGCCCTTCTTCTGTGTATTTCCTATTCCTGACCTTCACCCATTTCTGATATGTTAATTTTTTATTGACTTTCAGGAAGACTGTGTATATTAAGGATATTATCTCAGTCTTTTGGGTTCCTGGACCCAATTCCAATGTGTGTGTGTGTGTGTGTGTGTGTGTGTAGGGGTCCTCTATACCAATAAACAACTCTGGGACACCCTGCTGGTGTACTGACACTATCTACCCAAGGATAGCATCAAATACCTTTTCAAATACCTTTTCAG